TTTGACCTATTTTTGCGTTAAAAATTATATCCATTCAAATGAAAGTATTCATGTGGTTGATCTCTGAGCCAGGTTTCAACTAGACCAATGATTTTAAAATTTGCCTCACTACTGTTGAGAAAAGCCTTCAGTGGTTCAAAGTTATTATGCAAACTCCTGATATTTACATTTAGCATCGATAAATTTGATGCCACATTAGTTTGTATTTCATTCAATTTGTCAGGTAAATAATAATCAGATTTGCTTGTATTGATTTCTTGAGGATCAATCACAATATTTTTATATTGACTACTTTTTTGCAGTTATTTAGGATATTTTTATCAAAAATATTACAGAGTTCCAATAGATACTCATTTTTATCACTAATATGATTAAACGGTATTGATAGGGAGTCATTACACTTTAAACAATGCCAAAATTTATAATTATCTCTTTTTCTGAATTCTTCAACGGTTAAATTAGAACATGATTTATGAACATATTTACGGCAAATTGTACATAATAATTTTCTGTGATTCTTTTTTACTTGTTTGAGACATATACTACATTGGCAATACATGTTACTACATTAAATTAAAAAAATAAATACGTCAATAAAACATGCACTCTATTAAAAGAATAAATTAAAATTCATTAAAAATCGCTCCAATAGCAGTAAAGATATACTGTATATGATCATTGTAACAGGCATAAACCGCTCGGAGAGAAAAACCGAAGATAATAATATACGGTATTTTATATGGATGTTACCGGAATAATTTAATTTTATCTTGGTAGCTAGGAATTTTACAGAATAATATACACTTTAAAAAAAATATATATAAACATTAAAATTTAAAAATTTAAGAAAATGGCACTTGCAGACTTTAACGGGAATAAAGATAATTCTAGTGAAACATATAGAGAGGGAAGATGAGTTTTCACGTGGCGAGTTATTGACACGCAACGGCGGGAAAAACTCTAAAATTACTCAAAAAGCTTAAAAGTACAGTTAGAAGGCCTTGATTGTACGACAAACTAGAGGCAGTCCTAGTTGGAAACTGCTCTGATTGGTCAAGCATTTTTGGTGGATTGATTTTTGGAGCATGTAAAAGTGTTTCTTGAATTTTCTACGCCGGGATAGGCCTATGTGGACCTTTTGTAATTTGGGGGGTGGGTGCCTACGCACCGGTCGCAACCACCCCCCCCCCTCCTTCCTGCGTACGGGCCGGGTACTCTGGTGCATGTTATACACTGCTCCGTAGAGTCACAGTTTTAATTCACAAAAAGTTCACTTTGTTCTGAAAGATGAAATAAGACTTTAGATGCTGATGGCAAAACCAGTTAAAAAACATTTGACACACTGGTATTGTTCCTGCAAACCAGAGATGAAACGTCCATACATACAATTAAGCTCGCAAATAAAAACAATAAATCATGGTAGCTTAAATCTTCCATCTACATCTTTCAAGGAACAGATAATTCCAGTTAATCATTATGCTACAAAAGCTCTGTTACAGTATCCTGAACCAACCATCCTGGATCTAAGACTGATGTTCCAAGCAATGAACTTTGTAAATTAAGCAGTTTGTTGACTGCCCTTTCCTTCAGTAACCCGAAAGGTTGTAAACTGTTAACCTCAACAGACTTGTGTAGATCCGATACAATTAAAGCACTTTCTTCTCAAGATTGGTGCAGGATCCCCACCAAACTGAGAGCGCGGAGATCCACAAGCAAATCAGCTACGACATAAATGAGTATGAAATCTACAAATACCCAGGAGGTGTCCCCTGGTTTGATTGCCTTAAGGCCAACTCAGACAGCGTCGTACGACGCAGCCCGACGCGATTTGTTGACTGTGTGAGTTAAACACAGACGCCATGGTGTGCGTCGGGGGCAGTCGCGTCCTAGAATATTAAACATGTTTAATATTTCTCACGACGGCTTAAGACTGTCCCCGACGATAAATCGGGTCGGGCTGCGTCGGCCGACGCTGTCTGAGTTGGCCTTTAGATGATAGAGCATCAGCTGCCTAAGGAAGATCTTGCATTGAGTTTCATCAACATCAATTCATATGAACGATGCTGCTGTTTCCCATAAACTCTCCATTTGGTGGGAAAAAAGTACTTACAAAGATGCTCCAGTGATGACAGGTAGATGTACCAGTTACCCTTAGAGCTGTCTGCAACTGAAACAGCGTCATCACCGCTTACATGTCGCTATCTGCTCCATTTATACATTGTAAATTTAGTCAGCTGTTACATAGCAATAGTTAACATTTTTGGGTGGGGCAACAATTCAGAATTTATATCATTGACACTCTAGAAACTGAATTGGATTAAAAGTTATAGCTTTTTAGTTTTTTTGAGCATTTGAGTAGTCGTCCATAATGGATGACAGTTTATCTCCATTTATATATCCTTTATATAATTTGTGTATACACAAATTTATATTACTTTATTTATGTGTATACATATAATATATATACATATATATACACATATATAC